ATCAATAAAAAGCATTTAATTGTTAGCTGCAGCAATGTAACAGAAACAGCAGTTTACATAAAATAAGTAGTAAAGTGTTATTGTAAACGACAGAAATGTGTGCATCAAGAACGCCACAATGACTTCTACATAGATGGATCTCCATACCTCCATATAGCTCAGCTGCAGGCAATGAAATAAAATTTAATTTAAAAACATTTAAAATTAGATATATGCTTAAGCACATTAAGTTCAGTTCCTGTGACAAGCAGGATTCTTATTCCTTCCCAAAAATAATTTAATAACTTTTTTCCCTTATGTCAATCAGGCCAAGAGATATTCCCAGTTTTATTACTATAAATAAAAAAAAAAAAAAAAAAAAAACCAATGGTAATTCCTAAAATGTAATTTTTTTTGAAAAAGGTATTTCTAATAGGCTAGATAGTACTAAGCACCAAAGTCTACTTTTAAAAAAACTAAGGAATACTTACATGCTAACTCTTTCACTGCTGCCTCTACTTAGAATGTGAGCTGAAATGAAGGATTGGTTTTTAACAGCCTGTTTTAAAAACAAAATATAAGCAACTCATAGCTGAAAAAGTCTGATTTGTGTCATGACCTACAAACCGATGAGTATCAGAGAAGAGGTGCAGGAGTCTAGAAGCAAGATTTTGTTTTCTCTTGTTACTAATATTTAAAAACAAACCTAGCTTGAAAATGGGTATACCATTTTATCTTAAGAAAAAAAATGTGAGAGATTGCCAGAAAGAAAAACACAGACAATCCCTCCATAACTCTGTCTTGAAAAAATGGTTTTATGGCAATAGAACCATTTTTTATGTCCAGAAGACATGATGCACATCTGAATGATAGAAGTATGAGACCAATGATGACAATCTAGTCTATGACTATATCAGCACTGCATAAACATCACAACGTTTCAGTTCTACTAGAGGTGAAATGAGAACATTTTAATCCATCTTTCAGAAGCCTTCTTTGATAGAAAAAAAAAAAAAATCAACATAAAACCCACTAAAGTACAGTTTACATTTTTTCTACAAGAGAACAAATTCAATCAAGTCACTGACCTCACCACGCTATTGGTGGTGCCCTCCACCTTGCTCCATTTTATCTCCACACAATTTCAAGTTTACTCTAGTTTCTTCCAGTGCATGCTAAATAACATTGTTCTAGTTTTTAAAACCAATTCAAATTGGACCCACTTCTGGAAAAATTTCTCTTGCAATAAAACATCTCTAAAAGCTTGTATTTTTTTTTTTTTTTTTTTCAATTTCAGCTTATCAGACTTCGTTAGGTCCCTCACAGTCTTGAGTCATTGTGGCAACTCAAACACATGTAGGAAAGAAAAGGCAAAGTGCTTGGAATTGTCAATAGCTTGTTCCTATAAGCTCCAGTTGCTGTAATTACACAATCCTTTTTCTAAATCAGAAATACAAGTATCATGAGAGATAAAAATTAAAACTAACATCAAATACATAGAACAAGCAAAATCTGGACATTCCGTTTCCTTCTCATCATCTGAAAACTTCCCTGATTTAACCCTCAGAACTCAAATACAAAAGTTGTTTCCATGGTTGTCTTAGCATATAAAATACCTATGTAAAATAAACAACAAAATCAAATCATCTTCTTTGCATGTCACAAAACTAGTAATGCATAAAAATAGGGAAAGTAATTAAGTTTTCACTTTCAGCCAAAAAAAAGTATTTTAGAATACAGATTTTAAAAGCAACCTGACACTTCAAACCAATCTAATGTAATATCAAGCACCTCAAAGACTGAAAACCAACAAAAATGTAAATCTCAACTTCAAATTGTAGAGACCTTACTTTCTCCACTTGCTGAGTTAAACTTGTATCAAACCAAAACAAAAGACAAAGAAGCAGTTCAGATGCTCAATTGTTTCACCCTGCTTCATTTTTTACTAAATTATAGACCTAGATACCAAGTACATAAAATAGTCCTGAAAGATCCAAGGGCTAGAACATGAAGCTTCTTAGTTCCCCTAAATATAGCAGCAGTCACATGGCTATCACTAAGACCACATTAGCTTTTCCATGCTAGAATACCTCCTAAACCTTTCCCCTCAAAAATTTAGATTGTGATATGAATATTCTTACATGAAATATAACAGGTAATATTTCAGGCCTAGAACAGCTTAAAAATACACATCCTTGCACACTCCCTCAAAAAAAAAACCCACCGCAACCTCCCCCCCTGCCAAAAATCAAACAGTAGCACCTCCAAACTGCACCACAGAAAAGCAAGAAAAAAAATATTTTCTGTTGAGCTCAACAGGATCTGTGATCATCAAACAGCTACTTATTATCCTTTTCTTAACAATAACTATATAAGTAAATCTTATTTGCTTCTGGAAAAAATAATTTAAAAAAGCAGATTAAGGTTAAGATGATGAATAGTTCTCTCAGGAGTAAATCTGTACTTTGCAATTTGTAAATACATAAACCTACCAGCTCATACCATTTCAAGACCACTTCCAATAATTTCAGATTGCACTCTTCATAGTAATAAAGCAAATTTGTGGATGTTTGGCATAAACCCACAAAATGTCTTTCCAAGACAGCAACTAACTGACCACCAGTACATACCAGGCACCAAGTTTTATGTCACCGATGGAAAAAATAAATGAATACACACTATTTTATATGGTACAGTCACAATTAAGAGTGCTTCATATACAGCAGCTTTTAGAACTCCCTGGTGTAAAACTGGTGGTATTTTCCATACTGTTCAAATAGGGAAGTTGAAAAAAACCGAGCTGAAAGCACTTCATCACTGAGTCACTGAGGGAGGCAGGGGTAGAGCCTACAATTTCTGGCTGCCAGCCTTACGCTTCTGTCACTACTCGGCACGTCTCCGACTAAAACCACATATAACCTCTTTCTAATCAACCACTTGCATTGTTTCCCCTTTTTGGGAGAGATACGCAAGGTCAAGATTATATCAAAGAACAGGGTACCCTTAGTAACTTCACTGCACCAGAGCACTGGAGGGCACACCACCCCTGCACGAACCTCATTTTGCCAAGCCCCTGATCTCAACAGAAATGCCAGAGACCGCTAGTTTCACCAGGAGAGCCGGCTTTCAGAAGAGCCAACTCATGTGAGTGTTTGCTGAATAAAGACATCATTCACATAGACACTTCCAACAGCAGACAGTAGAAACCGTTGCTCTTGCCATTTCACCCCACAAACCCTCTTGAAAAAACAGAGTAGAAGTCGGGATAGCAAAGCCAGGAGTAGACAGAGGACTCCGGCAACTCGGCCCTGAAAATGGGAGGAACTGGTGTCCTCTGAAGCTCAGGAGTCCTGCTAAGCCACAGTAAGAGCATGGGAGCGGAAAAGTAGCAGGAAAAATAGGCCAGCAAGAAACCTTACTCCAGCCTTTCCAAAACAGTGTATTATTTCCATCAGCTGCCTGTCAAGTTTATTACAGAAATCTTCAGGTACTGTCAAAACCTTGTAATGATACACTTATCCATCAACCAACCACCACCAAATGCACCAGCACTCAATACATAGAGTCCCAAGCACACCATTATGTTCGATCATACTGATATGGTTAACTTTTTTAGTATTATTATTATTTATAGGATATCAGCTGGCTCAATCCGCTGCAGACTACACAAAGTCCCTGCATACAAAATACCCTTGGAGCCACCATATTTTCCCAGTCTTTCACAGCTTCTGTATGCCAGTGACAGTTTTAGAGGGAAGATTCTTCAGAAGTACTTTTAATTACTACTTCCTCCTTAGCTAGAATGCATTAATTATAGCCTGTTCCTCAAGATAATAAGAAAACAAAGACCAGTGCAATATGAACTGTACAAGAAACTTAATTACTGAGTCAGATGTCCTTTAGATGTCAGTATGACTACAGTGAGGAGCAGAAAAATAAAACACACACGTATCAGCCTCAAGTTGTTAGATCAGTTATCAAAACAATGTCTTTCCTCAGTGACTTCATTATGAAGAGCTCAACCAGCTAATTAATCAAACGGTTGTTATGTTTCAAAAATGTGCCTTTTTTTACTAAAGGAGGCCTGCTGATTTATTTATTACAAAGCAAATGTGGTAAATAGTTCTGCATGTAAATGCAGAAGTGCAGCATGACTTTGAAGTTTGAAGGTCAGATATAGTAACCGTTCTTTCTCATCAAGGTTTTTATGTCAGACTGCATCTTCTGTTTTGCATCTATGTTTAAGAGGAGGAAGAAAATTAATTAAAAAGTAAAACATAGAGACAACCAGTTCTATGACAATTTAAGAATAACTGGAACGCTGTAATTTACCTTTCTTCATTTAAAAATCTGCAAATACCCTATCTCCCCAAAACAAAGAAAGAAAATGGAAAGGGTGATGGGGGGGGACACAATTTCATTCTGCTTTTCAACTTTGTTTCCCTCATCAGGAAAATCTATCTAATTAAGTGAGCAATTATTTTACATTAAAGGAGAGAATGTCATTTTCTCCCTTTTCACATACATTTCAAACCCATATAATTTAAGACAGTTAGAGGATCTTCATGTCGATCAACACCTTTTATTTTAAAACAATATAGATTTGACTGCAGATGCAAACCAGAGGACTGTGTACCTATCTTTTTTCCAGGCATCAGAGAATTTATCACTCACCCTTCTATATTCCCAACAACTTTATGATACAAAACTCAACAGCTGGGCCTGAAGGCAAACAAATATGCCTCATGTACCAGAGTCTGATCCATACAAAAAAAAACCCAAACAAGCCAAAAAACAAAAAGCCCCAAAACATATGTTTTACATGCACACCACAAAGACGAATAACCAATATGGATTTCTTTTTAGCACCACCACCATGTTTAAATACAGTAAAACTGATAATACTTCCCAGTAAAACACAGAGTTATAAACAATCCCCTCTCACACATAAATAACAGACATTATACAAAGCAGACCATAACATGGATGGATGTATACAAAATAAACACATTCAAACTTACCCCACTCCAGATACTCAAGGATGTTCTTCTCTCTTCTCAGAGGGGAATTATTACATTCATCATAAAGGCAGATGAGTATATCCAGCAAGGTTTCCACACTGAAGCATTGCCCATTAGTCTGAGTTGGCCCATCCAAAATAAACTGCTCCAACTGCTTCAAACGCACTTCTCCAGACATGGTTGTTTCAGTTTGCATTGGGGTTTCTTTTTTAATGATTATTATTACTTTGCCAAAAAAAAAAAAAAAAAAAAAATCTTTTGAGGGTTTTGTTGTTTAAAAAGAAGCCAACAGTATTTTTAACAAGTGTCAAACTGTGGCCATGCTTGATTTCCAGCCCACCTCGGTGTTCCCGGTCTGAAACTAAACCCTTGCGAGTTTCAGACACACACATACAGTGTGCATCTCTGTGTATGCATAATTTTTACGAGAAGAACATAGTTATGCTAAAAAAAAATATATAAGTCTTTTAATACGCTTAATAACAGGGGGAAAAGATATGAAATATATGGCCGCTCCTGAGGCTTTAATAATATTAACTGCACTCAAATTCAACCGAGACTGATTGACACCGATTTCACCGTGCGTGCAGAAGCATACGCACTTATTTAAAAAGGTCTTCTCCTTCATTCAACATGCAGATCATGCAGCACGATCCTGAGAGGAGCCCCGCCGCATCATTACAGCCCCCGCCGGCTCGCACCAGCGCCCCGCTCCCCAGAACGGGTGGGAAGGGAGAAAGATACGTATTTATCTATTTATATAGAGGAAAGCAAAAAGGAACCGGGGCGCACACCGGCGGGGAAGGAGGGAGGGAAGGAGGGAAGGGGCCGCGCAGCCCCGCCGCCGCCGCCGCCCCCCCGGCCCCGGCCCCGGCCGCGGCCACCGCGCCCGCCGTGGGGGTGGGGCGCAGGTCCCCCCCGGCCGCCCCTCCTCAGGGCGCAGCCACGTCCTGCCCCGGGCAGCCTTTCCCTTCCTCCTCCTCCTCCCTCCTTACCGAGTCTCCTTTTAAGGCTTTTCAGTGATTCAAAAAAACTAAAGTCTTCATCGTCGCCCCCTTCTCCTCCGCTGCGCCAAGGGGCGGCGGGCGGGACGCGCGCCCCTACACACCGGCACCGCCGCGGGGCGGCTGGGAAGCGCTCCGAGCCCTGTCAAATCCTTCCCATGGCTGCTGCTGCTGCTGCGGAGACGGCGCCCTCCTCCTCCTCCTCCTCCTCCTCCACCTCTTCCTCCTCCTCCTCCTCGGGGTGCGCGTCTTGGGGCGGAGGGGAAGCACCGGCGCCCCCCGCTGCGGGCCGGGAGGCCCCGGCGGCCGCGGCTTCACTCCCGGCGACGAGATGCTCCCCCGGCTTCGCCCCCCCGGGCAAAGGGCATCTTCCCGCGGTGCCCGTGCGGGGTGTGTGTGTGTGTGTCGTGCGTGCGCGGGGCGGCGGGGAGGGGTAACGCCGGCGCCCTCCCTCCCTCCCCCCCCTCCGCTTCCGCGCCCTCCTCTCCCTCCCTCTTTCCCTCCCGCTCTCCCGCGGTCACACGCAGCAGCCGCCGCCGCCGCCGCCGCCGAACTCGCAGCAGCCCAACATGGCGGCCGCGGCGGAGCTGGAGGGCGGGCGAGCCGGGGGCGGGGGGGGGGAGCCGCCGCCGCCGAGAGCCACCGCAGCGCGGGGAGCCGAGCTCGGGACCGCCGCTACTGATGGGATTGGGGGGGGGGGGCGGAGAAGGAGGAGGAGGAGGCGGAGGAGGGTGTGCTGCAGCAGGGAATGCAGGGATACGGGCGGACCGAGGCGGAGGGGAAGGAGGGAGGGAGCGGGGAGGCCGCCACGCAACACCCCGCGGGCTCCGGCCGCCGGCGGGCTGGGCCGGGTTCCTCCGAGCCGACCCCCCGCCCCCGCGAGACTGGGGGTCGCGCGGAGGCCTTCCCCGCTCCCCGACGGAAGCCGCAGCCTCCCTCAGCCGCTCCCCTGCCAGCTCTCCTCTCGGCCGTTCAGCCTTTAATTAAAAATCAACCTCATGAAGGCCGGTGGGCCGGGGGAGCAGTACCCTGCCTGCTGTTTCCTTTCCACGGTTATCTCTTACTGAGGCTTTCAGCTCCGGGTGCGAACGCAGTCCATCCCACCCCCCCCCCCGGCCACCTCACGCTTCGACGGCTGAAAACGTGATGGAAACCGCGGCGGTTCATGGCGGTTGCCTCCCCGCTCGCAGGGTGCCGTCCCTCCCCCGGGAGCCCGCCGTGCCGCCCCAGCACAGGCCGCGGGGACGAGCCCGTTCGGCGCCGAAAGGAGGCCCGTCACCGGGGTGGAAAATGGCAGCCGCCCAGCAGCGTGCCGTGGCGGTTCTCCCCTCAAAAGGTGTAAGGGATGTGGCGGTTGTGCTCGGGGTAAATGTCGTCTTTAAGTCAACCAGTCGCTTAGGTTCGGCCCTCCTTCAGAAGTCGGGTGAAATGGGAGGAAGGCAGGTCACCAGCTGTACGTGAAGTTCAGCGTGCAAAAGCCCACAAAGTCCTGTGTCTGCTGGAGCTCCAGGGAGGGAAACGGCTCAGGCATCTGCTTCCTCAGTTCAATAACTAACAGAAGACCCTCAGCTGGGTTTTACCATAACAAGCATCTATATAATACTTTTTTTTCTGACTGGCCTTTTTACCAGCTGATATAAAACGTGAACAGTCATATACCCATGAGGATGAAATATATGATACTATTAAACGAGGGTCCTATATGTTTGCTGAGAGTTGCTCAACTATATATAAATTCACCGATGCGAAGCTGGAGGGGACAGTGAGTCTCGCCCTGTGCGAGTAAAAAGGCAGAGCAGATGAGCTGTGGGGCTGGGAAGAGTCTGCTTGCTGTCTGGGCCTGGAAAGAGGATCCATCAGCTTGGGCAACAGTCTTTTAAGAGAAGAAACTCCTCTGCCAACACTTGGTAAATTAAGTGTGCAGGGAATTTAATTCTAAAAGCTTTTTACACAGAAACCCTCCAAGAAATATTGTTAGGAACTACTAAAAGTGTAAGCGAGCTTGTGGTGAGTAGGAGATAGGATTACACTGAGAAGATGGGGACAAGGAAAGGGTTCCGTTCCCGTGATGAGGTACACCCTTGGTATGACAGGAGCCCTATGCAAGGATCTGGCGTGCCGCTGGTCCTTGTCTGCTAAAGCTTTTGTTCAAAAGTCACCACAGTGCCTCCGTGGTAGGAGCCCATTCCGAAGCTGTGGCACACAGGCGGTTTTACAGCGAGAGCAAGGTATTTCCTGCTGGCTCTCCGCTGAACTTATGGAAATCGGGACTGAAGCTGGGGGTGGGGGGACGCCTGATGACAGCAATAAAAATAAATTGCTATTGCTCGGGTTGGTGGACCAGATGAGATAGCACTTCCTATAGGGGTTGAAGACACGTCAGCCAAGTTCATCCTGAGCATACATTAACCATTAATAGCGTTACAGAGGGAAAATGGAGAAGACAAAGAGTTAAAGGTATGTTAGCTCCTTGGACTTTGGCACCACTTGGTAGGGAAGTGAACTAAAGAACAACTGCCAGAGATATGATGGGTGTGGATATTTCACTTATTTACTTATGTTACTGTGTTTTCCTCAGCCAATAATAAAGTCTTTCCTTGTTTTTATTGCAGACCAAGTGTTTGCAAACAAGGAAGGATACCTAGCAAAGGCACTTGCTTTCCCTATATTTCTGGTTTTAAAGCTGAACCATTGTTTCTGTCAGCACCACTTGACAGAAGTTGCACATCAAGCCAGTTCTTTTCAGTATGCTTTCAGCTCGAGTGAGGCTACGAGAGCCACACAACACATTTTTCTGTTAAAACCATGCTATGTAAGCTGCAGTTGAACACAAAAGCCAGGAATTATTTGTTCTCTACTCATTTGATAGCCCATCCAGAAATATATAGGTGGTCCCCACGTTAACTGGTGGTACACCCCACTGGGCTATAGTCAGCTGTCCTGTCACAGAAGCTGTGAGGAACAGGTAATACCAACAATGACTAATGGCTTTTTATATTTGCTGGGAATTATCTATGTACCAGATGAGTAATTCTCACAATACCCCCTTGGGATGAAAAAATATTTTCCTCTGTTTTATAAGAGAAACTTTAGTCCAGAATATTTAGAAAACCAACAAAACTTAGTGTAACACTCAGAAATTCCTTCCCTCTTGTACGTTCTGTCACTAAGACAGACCATGTCCTAAAAATACACCGAAGTTGTGCAAACATATCCCAGTATCTTTCATAATTATCATATATTTGTTTCACCCCATTCTTACTCTAATAATATCACAATAATATTTGCTTCTTATCACTTAGCTTTACAAATGTTTATGGTACCTAAAAAGTAACTAATGATTATGAAGAATTTATATCTTACAATAAATTAAGCAAACTGATAGCAACACAGGGAATTGCGGGGAGTGAGTAGGATACAGTTGAAACAATATAGTCTATGTATTAACAACGCGTATGGTGGGTGTTGCAGTACTTAATGTTGGTATATTAGAGTAAACAGCCTTTTCTCTCCAGGGACATAAGATTTGCTGTTTTGGGTGAAATATTGCAGATATCTGCTGTTGGCATGCAAACTATTTGTAAAGTCAAGAGGCATCCCATCCCAACAGATGAATAAATGCTTGCAACTGGTAGATCTGTTACATACTTAGGGGCAAGTACTTGAGTGGCATTTACGTGTTGACTAAATTTTGCATCCAGGCTTTTCTGTTCTCCAAAACTTTGTAGACACACATTGTTTGTACTGACATAGTGGTTCATCTCCTGAGGAAAATTTGGGCAGTATTCTATGCAAAAACAGTACTGGCACCCAATGTAGAGAATGTGTGTTTAGACACATGATGGTGCCATTTGAAAAGGGGTCCTATAGCTGTTGTCTGAACTATAGTAATAACTTAGGTTATTGTAAGAGATTGCAGGTAGCTGCAGGTGGGGCACACACTGTTTGCACTCTGGGATGACTCTGAAGGCTTGCATGTATGAATTGAGCAATGCTTGTTCTGGTGACTGTAGCATTGTAGTTTCACGTAAATCTTACTACTGAGGCAAACTTAATCGTAGCAGACAGAGAGGTCTCTTCACTGAAACTGCTGACTATCATACAACTTAACTAGTCTCAGTACCTGTAATAATTAATTCAATAACACACTCTAAAGTTTTTAAATACTTGTATATCTATTATTCTTTTCCTCTCTGTCTTGCCAAGACCTGTTTCTCCTGTGAGGTCTATAGGCAAGTCCAAGTACAAGCACTAAATGGTACCTGGCAAAATTGATGCTTATTATTTACTTAATCCCCAAATAGTGATCATAAACGTGTATGCATATTGTAAATATAGAATTCTTTTTCTCTTCTCTCTTGCTTCTTTTATTGGTCTTTGGAGTCTTATTTGTAGTCTTACTGATCTTCTGTGAATGGCTAAACTGACTGATTTTACCTCAGAGACAAATTGCATCATGCTGATCTCACTACACTGGTTCTGTATTGGCCTCAATGCCATGATTTTAGTCTTCATTTAAAACTAATGAGAGCGTGGCCACCACCAGGATACAATTTTCTGTGAAGAATGTAGTGCTTTTGGCCCTGCTGAAGGGTCCAGGGGTGCTGTGCTCTGAACAGAAACAAGATCACCTCTGTGATTAAAGAAGATGAGAGGAAGCAATGAAATTGCATTTATAACTGTGTGAAACTGCTATTATTTTGAATCCTGCTTTTATGACACAAACTAGGAACTGACCAAAATCGCCTCTTATGCTGGCCTCCAAACAGGGCCCTAGTTTTCACTCTGATGATGCTGTTTCATCTTCCTGTAAAGGTGGGACCAAGTCTGCCAAAGCTCCTAGAGGTGCTATAAAGCTTAATTAGCATCTGTGTAGCAATCTTTCTTTTTACTTTCCTTTCTTCAGAAATATAAATCTAAGACTGTTCTTTTATTTTACTTTCTGTCTTGTTTTTGTAGTCTATAATGTCTGCAACTTTTCAAGCCTTTAGACCCTTCTTAGTCCAGTTCTCTCTGGATTTCTCTATCTATGCTGAAGTTTTCTTCTGCTGTCTCCTGAATCTGTTCCTCATGTAATGGCACCTTCGAAAGCTGAACTCTCCTGGAGATAATTCAGTTCCTTAAATGAAGCTATTTAATGAGCTAGAACTCATCCTCAGGTCAAGTGGCTTTTCAAACTGAAGAGTTCTCAGGAAGACCACGTATTTATTTGTGAAACTGGATGGATGCAAATTTCTGCCTCTGCCACACAAAACATGGCAAGAAAATCCATTGATTCAAAAGAAAAGTGGGTACATGTACATTGTTTGGCTGATGCCTATGCAAAACTAGTGTTGCTCATCTTACAATTGCAATAAGTTGGCATGAGAGCTGCTTCTAAACCTACTGTCTTTGCAACATTTCATAGTTTCTACTGGTCATAATCAAGGCTTTTG